TGCAGAAAAGTGGCCTAATTCGTGTCACCAGCTTGTAGCATCTGCTTTACAGACGATGACCTCCAAATGGACTATTTTTCTGACCCTTCTGGCTCTTCTCGTGGATGTTCCAGCATAATTGGCCCAACAAAACGTAGATCCACCACAAGATTTTCAGAGCTGCCATCATCAAATCAAATGAGTTTCAACATGACATTGCCACACTTCCGCCAGTGTTCTGTAGTTGCATCCCCATGCGACTTGGCTTGTTCTCAAAGGCGTTGGCATCAATGCATCTGCCAACTCAAGCTTCACACGAAGGCCCGGCATGGCCTCCTACAAAACCCCTTGCCCTGATCAGCTGCAACCAGCTCTCATGCTGTAATATGTTACCGTGGGTTTGGCCGCAGCAACGTCAATACATAAGGGCCGAATGTCACTCTTCCAATGGAAACGGCTGGCGATATCACCCATGCGTCATGTCCTGAAAACAAGACACATAGGAGGTGGCACATAATTAATCAAAATTCGGCACCTATTTCTTCGCTCCTAAAGCAAAGCTTTTTCAAGATTGGCTGTGTCGTGGTAGACATTTGCCATCTTGAGATCGACTGGCTTGCGTACTGTTAGACTGCGCCCTCCTTTTCCAGGCGGTAATAGCCCCCAATGCCGCCAACCGCAAAGCTCTGCTTCAGAAGGCTGTGTCTCTGTTTCAATCTCCACATCTGCATTGTACACTAATGCTGGTTGTAGTTCACTTTTGCTGGCCCAGCACCAAGCCTTGTCCACACTCTGGTTCTGAAGACCTTGCTGATGGCAAGCATGACCATGCATGATGCTTTTTCATCCTGCGCACTAGCCTCTTCCTCAGTCATAGGCACAAAGACTCGCATGTGATAAACCCAGAAATCTGTGGTCCCCCTGTGAAGGTGCCACAGGAGCCGTGGTCGTGTATGGAACTGCTTTCGGCAGCATCGGCAAACCCCATCTCGAACGAATCTTCTCAGGGCTATGCGCATGCCGTGTACTCTCTGCTGGTGCACAGCCAATGATGCTGTCACACTGTTCACATTGGTGATCCAACACTGCGTCTTCCTCTTGTTCTTTTTCAAGAACCCATCCCATCTCTGCCATGAAATCATTCTGCTCCTTGGCTTGTGTTTTGACCGCGCAAAAGGTTTTGATTTGTATCAAGTGGAACTTCTCTGCTTTTTTCAGCATCTTTTTGAGCTCACCAATGGCATCTCTGAAATGATGCCAACATTCCCACTCATGAAACTCTAGCATGTCATCAGGAATCTATTCTCGCCCCACCTGAGATTGCCACCGTTTAACAGCCTTGACCAATCCATATAGCCACGACCCTTTTCGGGCGACATGATGGTTGTGCAAAATTCCAGCTATCAAACATTCATGAAGTTTTTGTAAGATATGCAGGAAAAGTCTGATACGTTGGAGATAGAGCAACTCCATGGGCATAGCTGCATTTGCTTCCATAGCTGCATTTGCATTTGCTTCATTTGCTTCATTTGCTTCCTTTTTTTGAAGAGTTTGATGGGTTCCTCCGACCACCGCTGCATGCCATGCTTTGTACTCTCCAATGGTCAAATCAAAACATGTACTTGCATGCAATAAGACCACTGACATGCCCATACTGCGCACCAACATCTGTCGCTTTGGCAAGGGTACGCGCTGATCAGTCAAGAACTTCCTCAATGGCCTCAATTTTGCATGGCAAGTGCTTGTCGCACTCGAATCTCAAGCAATTTTGCACCACTTCTCAATATGTATCCACCCAGATGTTTGTAATATGGCACAACCGGGACTTCCAAGCATCCATAGTGTTCCGTGGGCAGTGCAATTTTGTTGCCCATCTGCTTCTCCATCTTTTGTCTTTCTCGGACAGCTTTCCAACCTCTGTACGCCAGCACAACAGTCGTTTTCCCTTGGCCATAAGACAGTTTCATGGCGTGCTCGGCCATGGTGTCAGTGATGATAGAGAGCAGGAAAGTAACTTTCTTCGTCAAGTCTGTAGCCTTTGCCATGATGGCAAAGGTGAGATCGTCAGTCCAAGCCAAAAAGCTGGCTCACTTGTCCCATGTCAGTCATTGGGGTTCAAATTGATTCCCTCGCTTTGAGCTCCTTCCTTGATGACTCCAAAATGATCTGCGTCAACACCAAAGAGAACAAGATGTCGGCCGCTGGATCACCCGGTCTAGATCCAGTAAGCGGATCCATGATGTGCGTGCCATTCGGTATCACAAACCATGTGTTGCTGAGTGCGGCAGCCACTCCATCTGATATCATCTCCGATCCCGTTGCCTCTTTCACAAGCTGACCACTTCCAACATTTTCAAAAAACTCCTGGTATGCACTTGGAGGCAACTGCAGGCGTTCAAAAATGTGGCATCATGAAACAGCTGTCCCCGTCAAACAAAAACAGGCATTGGTTTCACAACAGTGCAAAATGCCGACTTGATGTCAATGAAAACCAGCCCCAGTGAGTCACCCTGCTCTTTGCTGATGTTTGCCAGGGCCTGACCTGTAGGTGAAGGGCTTCTATGCTGAGCCCTTTTCTCCCTCCATACTGCAGCTGGTGTGCTTGACGCTGAAGACCTTCAATCAACTGGGGCCGCCAAGCACGCGACAATGCCCTGGATAGAGTCGGCTCAAGCATAATTGCTCTGTATCCAATCATTTGGGGGGGCTGGTCTTGCCTTTGTGCAGAGGCAACAGCAAGCCTCCCGTAAGTTCAGGCACATTTTGCCGCCTGAGAGCTGTCTTCAAATGGACGGATAACACTCTTTGCGTCGCCTGGGCAATGTTGCACTGAAATAGTTCAATGCCCAATCCGTCAACACCAGTGGCCTTTGTATCTTGCAGATTACGTAGCGCGGCCTCCACATCAAGAGCCTGCACCAAATCCTCATAATTGACTGTTTTGCAACGTGGCATTGATTTTTGCAAGAGCTTTTGAAATGTAACTGGATCTGCATTCTCAATATCGCTAAATTGCTTCTGCCATGCCATTGCAACATCAGTTCTTGATCGTTGCCAATCACCCTTGGCATCTTGCTGCCCTGGGTGATGCCTTATCAACCGTCCTTTGCTTTTCATGATCACCTGCGTGGGTTTCACAATCCTGCAAAGCTCCACATCACGAGCCTTCTGTGCGCCCATGATTTTGCTGTCCATTTGATCTTCAATCTTCAACCCACTTCTTCCATGCCTGCTGCTTTCTCTGCCGCAAACATTTGTCAACTTGATGCCTCGCATCTAGTGTGATGGCATCTTACTGCCACAGGAGATGTCGTGCTTTCTGCCACTCATCCATGATTTCATCTGCTTGCCTTGCAAACTTCCAAATCTTGAAGAAAGCTTTCAGCATGCCACCGTCTATGTCCCGGTGGATTTGGCGGTGATGCTGTCGGAGCCCTTTACGACTGCAAAGTAGTTTCCAGGTGTCTGGGTCAAGGTACAACTGTCTCTGCTTTCTGTTGGGGTTGGGGAATCAAAAAGCAACTTCTTTTTGCAAATGATACCTCAAAGCATGCCAATGCTCATTCATGTCACATCTCCACGCTTGTTGCGGCAAATTGCTCAGCACGTCTCCTAGCCCAGTCTTCTTGTAAGCCCTGGCTTTGTCACGATCATACAAAGCTTTTTTGACATACCCTGGTGGCTGTCCTGCATTGAAGGTGATGTCCATGTCAACCACAACAAGATGATGACCTCTATCACCATTGAGTAGGCCCCAATCATATGCCACAAAGGATCTCACAATTCCGCCTTGACATTCCTGCCCTACAGCAATGAAGTCAATCCTGCTTCCTTTGTGGAAAATGTGATGGAATCACCTTCGTGATAATCTTTCCATGTGGTAGACACAACCAACTTCCATCTGTCACTCAATACTCGGACAATGTCCTCACAAGCAGCTGACAAGTCACCCACACCATCATCTGTCACGCTACCTATCTTGCAGTTGAAATCCCCCAAGGACAAGATAACACTGTCCTTGGGGATCTTTGCACAAATCTCATCCACCTCACTCCACCAACTGGCAATCTCCTCCTCCGGTCTTCCAGCTTATGGCGCATATCCTACCATGATTTCAACATGAACTCCTGCAAAATGACAACTGGCAACTAGCAGCCTTGGCGCCCAAACACACACATCTTTGTGTACTTGAACACCACTGCCAAAGATTTTCTGCAATTCTGCTGTGTGGAGCCAAAGTTCCACTCCTGCTTGCCCTTGCTGTCCCGCACCAATGAGACAATCAAATGGCCCATGTGCAACATGTCGAACTTTCCTGGCTCTACCCTCTTGTATGGCAATGATGTGTGCGCCTTCTTGTTGAAATTGTTGAAGCAGTTCGACCGTTTTCCGGCTGACTTGTCCATCAATCGCACCAGCACTCTGCTCCAGGGTGCCTACATTTGCGGTGACAAGCCTCAATCTCTTGGTCCATTGCTTGTTGCCACGTGCACAAAGTTGCTTTTGCAGTGTCAAGTCAATTTCGCCTTTATACTGAGTGGGCTCTGCATTCTGCAACACAGTTTCAAGATTCGGCATCTCTTCATCCCGCTGCACTTGCATCCATGCACAATTTTTCAGTGGGTGTTTCAGAAACTGCTGACAACGTAATCGTGCATGAACAGGAGGTTTCCATCCCTCACAAATGGCACCAGCAATGCTGTCTACCATCCCATTCCATGGATGGCCAACATGTGCATGAGTCATGCTGCATGTGTGAAAGCCTGCAATGTTGGTGTTAGCACGTTGAACCAAAAACATCAAAATGCGTGCGTCTTTCTGTCTTGCCCCTGTCGCTCCAACTCCCTGACAGCCATTGTAGACACCAAAAGCACTCATGCCAACTGATAACGCGTCAAAATGGTAGTGGATACTGATGCCTTTCAAATTGCCAGCTGCAAGCACGAATTCAGACACTGCAATCAACGCTGTTGCCTCTGCGTTCTACGCTGTCTGCTCACACGCATCCAAATGATCATTAATCATTCCGCCAGCAAAGCCCAAATGGCTGAATCAGGCACCGTCCTTGCTTTCTGCTCTCTCCAATCAACACAAAGGCCCATGCAGTTTTTTTTTCCGACTAGCACCATCAGAAAAAAATGCCAGCGCCGCACATCATCTGCAACTCCATCTGTGTACTGAAGAGCAAGATATGCATCTGGCATGTCGGTTTCCACAATGATCGCGATCGCTTTGGGCCCTATGGCACCAATGGGTTGAGGGTAAACGTTGAACAGCACCAGATTGCCATACGCAGCATGATCATTCCATGCTTGCAAGATACTTTCCAGTACAGCCGGAATGTTATACGGATCGAATTCGACACCTCTTCGTCCAAGATCAACAAGGCCCAAGCCAAAAGTAACTGCCGTCCAAGGTAATGGATCTGGTTGCAACGGCGCAGTGGATGCTCCCGAAGAAGCAAGCACAATGCCTGGTTGCAAAGCCGCAGCGGACGCTCCCGGAGAAGCAAGCACACCGCCTGGGATTCCACCCCCTGCTTGAGTGTTCACAGGCTGAGACTCAACCACCACTCCCAACTCGACGTCACCTGCTCCATCATTTCCATTCAACTGCAAGAGTTCATCAACTGTATCTTGCAAATGACCTTGATGCTGTGGCGCGAAAACAATTGCAGGCTGTTCTTCCTCAATCTCCTTCTCCATTGCGACAGGGTCCTCAAAACCAATGTTTTCCCATGAATGCACATTGCCAATATCCAAGTGAAAAACAATGGGAGCACAAGCCATGAAGCCTGCTTTGTCTGCTTCTTGTCCATGATCACCAGACCCTTGATCACCGTCGACCACACGCCCCTGAGGCAAGAGTGGACCCAGCTTAACCCCCTCTCTACCTCACAAAGTGCGTTGGCCATTTCTGCGGGAATCTTCACTGCGCTGGTCTGGTGACATCTGCCTGGGAGGATCCAAGTTAGCCCTCCTGGAAGATCACAACTTTCAACGCAGCCTTCCTATGCGTAAGTATCTTCAAGACTCCATTGGACAGTCATGTCTTCATCCTCACTAAAGCTGTGATCACCTTCTTCATTGCGTTCTTCACTCGTGATATCGGAGGAGGTTTCTGACGATTTACTTGAGTCTCTATCCTCGTCCCTCTCTTCTTCAATTCTTCTGATGGACCCTGTCACCGTTGCAGTATGTGGTGCTTCCAAGACCTCATGTCCTTGTTGTAAAATCTCCATGCCATCTCGCTGATAACACAAACAACAAACCGTCCCATGTCCAAGCCAAGCTTCTGGATGCTGGATGACATGAAAAATTCTTCAATATTCGCCCCAACACTGCAAATGCCAGCACGAAGTCGCTGCAAAACCGGCAATGTGGTGCCATAGTACAAGGCTGGGCGATAACCTTGAAATTCACCCTGAATCAAAATCACATGAGCAACATTGCTGGGAAGGCCAGGCGGTTTGGGTTTGACCACATGAAAAGTGACCACACGGCCATCGCCCAAGTCTGACCAAACCTGCAAGCAATCCGCTCCAAAACTGTCCACAGTAGTGTCTGCAGTGATGAGAACCCGTCGGGACCTCAATGATACACGAAATGGCTGCTTCGACACAAACCATGTCTCAATAGTCCTTCTCGTGCCCCGACGCATGTCATGATCTAAAACGGGGTTCAATTCACTTCGCAAAACACCTGCTTCTTCCTGACTATCTCATCGTCAATGGCACCCTAGAACTTGCTACCGCAATCTCATGTTGTGAACCAACATCCATCTCCGAAAGCACATGGTTCCGGTTGGGCGCATTACCCACATGTGCAGCCAAAGCTTTTCTGAGAACAGTGTGCTTCAATTCCTGCCAATGAGTTACCTGTCCATGAAGATGCCAAAAACATCGCAAAAGAAGATCTTTGTCGCCTTCCAAAATGCTAAATGACACTTGATTTCCCTCATGATGGCAGGGTACATCGACAACGTTGGAAGAGGTGACATGCTTAACCATCTTAACCTGATTCCGCAAGCTCTTTTCTGGAAAATTGCTACAACGTGTTTGTCCTTGTCCTGGCTGGTGCCTCTCATCTGCAGTGCCAAAGGATCCATCTCTGAAAGCCAGGGGCTCCAACTTCAGTCCCGCATGAAGGGCATCTTGATCTGAATGAGCACAATGTGCGCGCTTGTGAACCTCATGTTCACGGACATGTTGACAATCATTGCGACCTACCTTCTCCCAAGTAGGTGTTTGCCCTTGCAGTCGATTTGAAAAGTTTTTCCACGAACGCACAAATTGTAGTAGAGTGCGGACATCATGGAATATTTGATCAGCATATTCATTTGTTTTTCTTCTCTGTCTTTTTTCTCGGCTTTCTGTTTGACGTGTCGGTTGGCAACCTTTGACGGCAATGCTGCTGCTGCTCGAAATTTGGGCATCAGAGATCCTTTTTTGACCTTGCTTTCTGGTGCTGATTCCACATCGATGGGCTCGTCCCCCACCTCTTCCGTCAAGTCTACCATTCCACCAACTTGGCTTGCCTGGGCAACCAGCTCCTGAGCTTGCCTCAATTGGTCTGCCACCGGCATCTCCGGCACTTCTTCGATCTGAGTAGGTTGGGCCAAGAGATTTTGCGATGCCTGACCAACCTGCTTCTTGATCAACTGTAGCTCTGCCATTCGAGCATTGTAAGATATTGTAAGCCTCTAGCAGATCTGATCTGTGCTTTTGGTACATCACTGCATGGGACTGCATCTTCTCCATGATGATAGACTGGACGAATTTCTCCCATCCGGCGTCCACGTCTTGGACTTTCCCAGCTGTAGTGACTTGGGTTCGCAATTTGTGAAATCGATTCAAGTGGCCATGAGACAAAGCTTTTGCAGCTGTAGTCTGCGACTCCTTCAACTGAAGCTTCTCCAACTGCGCTGTCATGCTCTCGGCCAAATCGACTCCCATCTCTTGCAATCCACGAAGGTGGTCCAGGAGCTTGACCTCTTCCTGCGTCAAAAATGAAGTCTCGGCTTCGGCAAGGGGCGGCTGAACTGGAGCTTCCACAGGCTGAGGAACTGCCAACAGTTCTTTCTCCATTGATCCTTGCATAGCCTCTACTCCCAGGGTAGTTCTACGAGATGGTGTGGTGGTAATCCATGGAACCTTCTCTGGAAAAACCTGCCATTGGCTATCTGTCTCGTCTCCCTTCTTCTCCTTTGCGTATTCGAGATTCGCTTCTGGATTTTCTCTTTGGTGGAGCCCATGCTGCCTCCCAGTGCTTGCTGCACATGCGACAATACTCCAGCCGTTGATTGTTCTGCACTTTGCATTCTTGACAAAACTAGGTCATTGTGAAGAGCTTTCTGGTTACACTTGGTATCCCTTGCCAGCTCCAACTGTGATGGCCTTGCAACTGCGCTATGCAAAATCCAAGTGCCCTTTTCCTCCTCTTTCCAACAAGCTTGGCCGAACACCACTTGATGTAGTTCCTGGCTTTGCTCCGTTTCCGCCTCAACGAGCGATGCCAGGTGGGTTCGACCTGCTTTTTCGTCAGCTTTCCCACACCCAGCCCCTTCCAAAAATGCAAAGACAGCGCGCGAGCGAGGATCCACCGCAACATGCACTAACGGTCGAACCCTCTAAGGCACAGCTAAGGAGATACAGGTGAGGTCCTGCACTCCCAGAGCCAAACCTTTACAGTATATGCTATATGTATATATATATGTGTGTGTGGGTACTGTATATACATGTATATACTCTATATAATCTATATATATATATATATGTATATATCTCTATATATCAATATATATCATATCACATGTTTCGTTGTGAACAGATTCCACAACCAAACAATTTCCAGGTGAGGACTCGCTGATGCATGCCGCCTTGCCTCAGAACACAGCGACTGCAGTTTGAGCAGTGGTGTGCTCGTGGCCTCAGGACGAATCAGGGTAGGCGAACAAACAAACCACGGATCACAGCGGGCAACAATGATCCACATTGATCCACAACATTCAACGCAACTTTTCAAGCTCTGCTCCCAAAACAGAAACGGGTCTGAAAGGAAACAGCCTTCACACAAAGGAGACAGCATGAAGTTGTATCTGCATAATATCTGCATAATATCTTAATCTTTGGATCTTCAACGCGCACCTTTTCCCGTCGCCGCCAAGACTTTCTGGAGATCTCGAGATCCGGCTATGTGAGGCTCAGGCTCCAAGATGCTTTGCATTTTTTGATGCATTTTTCAGTGGCATCATTTCGCATCCGAACTACTGTAACAGTTTTCCGAGATGGGTTTATTCTTGGCAACTCTGGGCGAGGCGTTGGACTCAAGTTCCCCTTCTTTCATCTTCTTTCAGTCCAAGTCTCCAAGTCGTTAATGGCAAAATGATGGCATATGATGGCCTCAATGTAGCAGTTTCCGGATTTTCAACCACAAAACCAACAAGCTTCACAGTTCTTGACGCTGCTGGAACTCACTCTTCTCTTTGACAAACTTCTCAGCAGCTTTGAAAGTTCCTTCCGGCAAAGCATTGATAAATCGACGAAAGCGACGCGTCGCATCCGTTGCATCGGCGTTGGTCGCGTCAGGTGGATCAGGTGGACGTGGCAGCTTGCCCCATCTCCACGATGGGTGCACTTTGGAATGAAAGCGCACCACTTCAGCGACCGCAGACCAGGAGCCACTTCGCGGCGTGATGAGACCACTGGCCTCAGTGCAACTCCGTGGTCTTTTCTTAATCGTTAGATTCGTTAGATTCGTTAGATCTTGTTTGTTTTTTGCACCTGTCTGATGACTTTCTGTTCTTTGCAACACTTCAATTTGTTGTAAGTCCAACTATGCGCGCCCATATCAGAGGGCTGCACTTCTAACTTGAGTTTGGCGGTCTTCAGTGCTACACAGTGTATTATTTTATGTCTCTTCCACCGCCGATCTCACGGCAGCAAACTTCGCGATGTGGAGAAGTTAATTAATGCCAATACTGCCAATACATCTCTGCTACAAGGCGTCCCAAAATGTCCCAAGCTTTCTAGATGTCAGCGGGTGACGCGACAGTGTGACTTCCAAGCATGACCAAGCACCAACGCGTATCCTGTATACTTGATACATCTTGATACAGTATCACAAGTGCGGATCTAATCAAAAAAAACATAAAAAAACTGAATTGAAAGAAAACAATATGAATCCTATCGGTCCTATCTAATCTATCCAAATCTATCCAAATCTTATGTCGAGCATGTCTATTGAAATCTTATGTCGAGCATTGTCGAGCATGTCTGGGCCCGGGCTATGGGTGCTGCGGTGTCACGTGACGGTCACGAAATGTCTGCGTCCCATCTGAGGTTCCAGGCCATGGCAAGCGTTGTGCCCAAATTCACTGCCTGGTGCCACCAGCCCGAAGGAATGATCAAAGCGTCGCCTTTCTGCAACTTCGTCTCCCAAAGGACTTTCACCAGTCCTGGAGGCACGGCCTTTTCGAAGAGATCGTTGGTAGATTCATAGCTCACGCACTCCAAAGCCATGTGGCATCTCTTGGTCACCACCTCCAACATCTCATCGTGACCCGGCGGTATCAAGCGAAAATACTTTTCACCGCGGATCACCACGTTGGTGCCTGTCCAATTGTACGAATCCACGTGCAGCTTTGATCGGGAATATCTGCCGCCCCAAAGTAGGGTTGCATTCGGTGGCATGAATTTCAGAGGCATAAGGGCAAATTGATCCTGGTTTTTCAAGAAGGGGGGAAGTGGAGGGCAAGAAGTAATCAAGTGAGGGTGTCTGTGGAGGAAGAATTCATCACGTAGGTAGGACCATGCAGATTGAGAATTCTTGTTCACATTTTTGAGGAAAGTCTTCAGCTTGGTTCCCATGATGCGATCCTCATTCTCCTTGTGGCCCGTGAATACGACACGCTCATCTTTGAAAGGCTTCATGATGTTTTCCTCGATCCAGCCATCCTTCAAGCAAGGCATCTCATCATAGGCTCCTTCCACCACTACCGGAATCTGTCCTTCGAACTCTTTTTGATAAATTTCCAGACTCAACTCGCGACGCCGAGGGACTTCCCGCGGCTTTGAAAACGTTGCCCCAACCTCGATGCCCACGGTGCCCACGGTGCCCATGGTGCCCACGGTGCTACCATCCAAAAAGTGTCGAAAGTTCAGCCAAGGCAATAAAGTGCTGAAGGTGTCGCCCTCGCTTTGTGGGTCGGAGCGACATGTTGTCAAAGTAAGGCCAAAGCCAAAGCTCAAAAATCTCTGCATCCTGAGTGGAAAATCTACCACAACATGGCAACCTTTGCGCCCTTTCTCATGAGCACAGGATGGCCTTCAGAGCTTTTGCCCCAGCTGAAACGGCCGCAAGAGGTTTCTTGCACTCCTGTGCTGTCATGTCTAGCCTTCAAACATGATAAACATGCTCCCTTTTCTACCAAATCGACATTAAGATGTCTAAACAATTTTCAGATCGTTCATTTGCAAGTCTCTGGCGGTTTGTAGCCATTGCAAATCGGACACCACTGAAGTAGATCGTTGACCTCAGCATCACTTCAACGAATACCTAACGGGATGAAAATGATTAAACACATTTGAACACGCATTAAAGAACAAAAGGAGACAAAAGGCAAATGCTACAGTATGATTGTCAAATCTGTCAAAGAAATCCATGCATGACAGCATGCAATACCCAACATACCACTTCTATTCTGCATGCCGCGTGTTGAGGGCTTTGACAGGAATCTCTTCCGTGTCCAATGGCAAGTCTTTGCCCTCGACCTGCCGGAGTACTTCACCAAGCTTTAGTGTGCAGATGTGTGCAGTGAATATCAGTGAATAGGGAATGCGGGAAATGAACCCAGCCGGGTCAAGAGCTCGCGAAGGCTTGTCTTTGCAGCATGGCAAGCTTTCACAGGTCATGACAGGTCTCTCAGACACTCCGGAAACCTCCGAAACGTATCAAGAAGAAGCAGCATCCGCTATGGTAAGCTATTCGATCCTATTGACATGTTTCCTTTGTCTAGGGTTGGGACAGCTATGCGCTATCTTTGTCAGCTAGCTTCGTCAGTCCCACCAGATTCGTCTGACGTTACAATGAAGACAACAAACATGAAGACAACAAACATGTGTGTGTGTGTTTGTGGGAGTCTTGTGCGGCCCTGAAGCTTTGGCCAATATGACTACTATGCAAACTGGACTTGAACAAGCACGTCCATGAAAATCCTAACGACAAAGAAACCAGGAAATGGATGAAAACGGACCAACATGGCAGAAACATGCAAATGATTGCAAATGCAATCATATTGGCTAGCATGGGTCATGAGTCCCTGGGAATTCTCTTAAGTCCTGTCCGGCCGCGTGCAGCGCTCCTATGGCTTTGGTCTCTGTCTGCTTTAATTTGAATATAGGCATGGGAACGTATCTTGATCAAAACTAGGAACGCCTTGCAAACCAGGTGCGTGGCTGCACCTCTATGTTTTCGCCAGCTTCCAAACTTAAAAATATTCTAATTACAGTAATTCCATCTAGTTCCCACTTATGCAGGGACATTCTAAGCAACAAGTGGTGAGAAATTGAGCATGTCGGCTGGCAATCTGAGAAAGGCACCGATTTCAGAAGTCTTGCGAGCTCCTCACTGCTGAGCAGCTATGTGAATTGAAGGCTGCAGGCAGTTTCTCTGAACTTGCCAATATCATTCAATATCTGAGTCCCTCAACACCATCAACAAGGCCTTCGATAAAGTTCCGTTTGGTCATATAATAATGTAATGTCAGTCATATCATATATCGTATATATTTATAAATTCATTCATATATATCGATCCAAGCACACGCCAAAATATGCTAAAACCATCCGAAACCCAACTCAAACCTTTGTCCTCTCATGGGTTCATGTTTCATTATCATTCATGTTTCCACATTCACAAACACAAATGCCCCCTTTCAGCTCGAGGTCGAACTCTACGCAAAACATGGCTTTGGATGGTGAAACTAAGCGCACATGACGGATCTTTGCCGTGTGTACCTCCGGAAGGTGTGGAAGGAGCAGCTTCAAATGTTCCAAAACTTCGGACCGTGATGAGGCGAAGGTGTAGCAGTATACGCTCAGATTGCCCTCGCTGCGCGCCATGCTTGATGAAATTGTTATGTTACCCATGCCATTCATGTCACACTTCATGTTACGCACGTCGTCCGCTTCATTGGATTCCTGCACGTTCCTGACTTTCTTTGCATTCTTCATTTCGTTTGTTTCATCTCCCGCCCGATTTTCTCTATGTATTTCCGCCTCTTGGATCTTCCCACTCTGCACGTGCGGTGGAATTGCTCGATGGACTTCGTCGCAAAGGATATCGAGTGCCAGCTCCGGCAAATTGAAAACCACGTGGATCTTTGATGACTTTGATGACTTTGATGACTTTGATGACTTTGATGACTTTGATGACTTTGATGTGTCACACAAAAGGAGCCCCAAGGAATCTAGCATGTCTAGCTCTCCATGAAAAGCACAGTGCAGCAGGTCCCGGGCATTCATGCACAAAGTTGTCACATTCAATTTGTTCCTCAGAGACTCAACATGCAGTGCTGCAAACACCCACCAACATCACCAACACATACCAATACAGTGAGTCACATGCAACAGCCTCGCGTGAACATATTGAAAATATACCCAAAAAGATAATGAACCGATCACCCGAGTCAATTCTGCATTACGCTGAGCGAAGAGCACTGCATCTGGGTTCAGATCATTTGCAATTACGAGGCAGCCCTTCCTGGCAGCGGAGTGCACAAGAACCAGTCAGCAAGTCTAGTTCCAAAACAATCCAAAGCATGCGTGGTGTATCAAGGATATCAAGGCATTCTTAACGGTAGCGTTGGAGTTGACATGAGTTGACAAAGAGCAAGTGGAAGCTGGAGCGCATTGGGAGCTTGGGCAGATCCGCATAGCATCCAGTAGGCTGGCATACTGAAGGGCACCAAGAATTAACAAACTCTGGTCCTAGAAACTGTATATACAAAAGAGGCAAAAAAGTGAGCTTCCTCATGTTTTCTCTGGAAATATTCTCTACGCACCCTTTTCTTCGATGTTTAATCCTATTGATATGGTGTATCTCGCGCCAAACAGTAACCGTTCTTGACAACTGGTATGGCAAGATCGAGCCTGGCACAAAGCAGTGCAAATGCGCCAACACCGCAGCAAAGGTCCAGCACAACTTCGCCAGGTCCACACTTGGCTGCAACTCGGCCGCGTTCAGCGGACATGCGCGAGTTCCAGTAGACCTGCATTGAGGCAAAAACATGCAAACATCAAGAACACCTATTTCACCATATTTCTTTACAAGAAACACGTATCACTTATACTACTTTAATATCTTACATATCTTACAATGATAGTTTTTAATGTTTTATTTATGCTCATATAACGTAAAATAAACAGGGAGTTGCGAAGAACGCGGCGCTCTTTCAACCGCAGCTCTGCTTTCCCAGCACATGCTGTAGCAAAATCATGCAAAATCCCCTTGTCAATTTCGGGATCTGATCGCAGTTTGGTTGACTTGCGAGGTCTTGATGAATCACCATGCCGCTGAAATATGATGGCTCTCCTGACTCTTGTGGCATGGTCTGGCCTTCTGGAAGTCAAACTGCAGCTGCAGTCCGTGTTCTTTCAGGGTGACCTGCGTCAAAGGTTGCCCTGCAATCACCTCCATGTCAAATGTGCGAAACTTGTTTGAGACGACCCCGAGCTTTGCCACAACCGTTTTGATACATGGGCATTTGTCCAAGCAAACTTCCCCGATGAGGAACCGATGCGGCCAATGCTGATCCAGTAAATTGAAGTGGGCGATGTGACCGACAATCTCGTATCCAGAGGGCACTGTGATTGTGGAAGGGAGCAAACGGCTCAAGACCTCCTTGTAGCTGTAGTTATGGTAGTTCAAGACTAATGTGTATCTAGTGAAGGATCCTTGAAATGCAGCTATGAGATTCTGCATTTCCTCTGGGAGGTCAGCTGGTGATACTTCATGTGCTAAAAGCAGCAAAGAGTGAGCACCAAGTGTCTCTGAGACGACGTTGAAAATCCCTTGCTCTTTCCGTTGTTTCAAAATAAAATCGGCCCAGTTCTGCCGCATCCGCCCTTTTCGAATGCCTCCAGTTTCAGTTCCAGCTCTTCCTGAATCTGACTTGGACAAGACTTGCCGCAGCCGATATGCGCCGTTGTGTGGCATCCGCACAGCCCAGAGCTCCTCTTGAAGGAAGAATGCGGATGAGTTGAATTGAATATGACTGACATTGGTTGAACTAATGAGCTAATATATATAGGAAAGAAACATGTAAAGTTTGAAACTTGCTGCTGCGCGCTGCCAGTCAGATACTCTACAATCATGATTTCTCGTAGCGTTTTGACTCTACTAACATCTACTAACGTCATCCTACGTTGACATCCCAGCACAAGTAGATGCAAGTAGTAAATTCACGATGATTCTCAATTGAAGCAACATGGACTTTGATGGAATCTAGATGAATCTAGATGAATCATGATAAATCATGATGAATCTAGTCTGAAAACGTTCAAAGACTTTTCAAGGAGTCTAAGGAGTCGGTCCCTCAGGTCCTGGACATCGTTAAAAAGTTCCCGGTGAATCCGATCTCCGCTTTTAGTCGATACGGACAGGACACGGCGGTGCACAGTGCGTGCTTTGCGCCGTCGGTGTCTTGTGTGACCAAGGGTTACTGCTGCCATGGCGCCCTGAATGCGAGGCATATTTCCTCCTGAACAGATTTTGGACTGAGCATAGCCGAGCAAATCATTTAAGCAAAATAATTAATGCATATTAATGCAAGTAAACCAGTAAAACATAGTAAAACCTCACCATTCCATAACCAAAAGCTATGTGCTTTGCTATGTGCTCTGGCTGCTACAGTCAAACGACAAACTCATGCCTAACTCATGCCTGGGTCAAAACTTGCTAGTAAATCACCATGGAATCGCTGTTTCAAGAAACTCATGCCTAAGTCATGCCCAAATCTTAAAACACCATGGAATCGCGTATGTATAAGAAGAATGTTTCCACACTTGGGAAAATCAAATGTTCGCAAAAATCCGTCTACAGTTGCATTCTACCGTTCATGTTTCTGGGGTTGAGAAATACTTGCCGCTTCGGTCCGCTGACTTTTTTCGCTTTGCTGACTCTTTTCGCTTTGCTTCTCTCGGTCCATCAGTGGCTTCGCTCTGCCATCTGTGATTCACACCAACCAACCTCTCCTATAGGTTTCCTATTTTTGAAACCACGACGTGCCGAACGAGGTCCGAACGACGTAGCAAACGACGTCAAAAAATAACAAGAAAGGCTCTCTGCCCACCCGCCTGCGGAACCACATAAGAAACTAAAGCCGACACGAAGACACAACAATGACCCTTCTCACCTCCATCTCAAGCAACACGCTGAAGTGCCACAATGCCACGTTGAGCATGCAGTGAAAAGTGAAAATGGCTGCCGCAGCACACTGGAAAGAAAAAGATAGAAACACCAACTCATCGCTGCACTCACATCCAGTTTGACTTGGTATGGAAAAGGTTACTCTTGATGCTAAACACAACCTAAACGCAAGATTTGTTAACAATATGGAAAAGGTACTCTTGATGCTAAACACAACCTAAACGCAAGATTTATTAACAATATGGAAAAGGTACCCTTGATGCTAAACACAACCTAAACGCAAGATTTATTAACAAAAACTATTCCAAAGACCAAATCCAACAAAACATTGCAATTCCTATGCGTTTTACTAAAAAGGCACGACTTTTCAAATCAAGTGCTCCCCAGCTATTTACGATGATTTCCAAATTTTAGGCACGACTTTAGCATTCCACTGTATGGTGTTGTGCTCCTATGGCACAATGCCCACTAACTTCGTGATCGACACCGAAGGCGGTGCGGTTCAAACCTTAGATAATTGACGTCTGAGGATCATCGAGCGATCTTCGGCGAAATGAAGAACAAATCATGAATAATACATAAAATATCATAAAATCATTAGATATACGGTCATTGTTACAATAATGCAATTTATAAAAATCGAAGCGAGGACACGGCGAGTCTTACGAGACAAAGTTCGCTTGCCCTCCAAGACTAGCCTTCATCATCCTTCATCGCTTCATCGCTGATCGTAGCACATCGCAGCACATCGTAGCTATCTTAGCGCTCTATTCATTTTTCTATTCCCTCTAATTATTCCTGATATTTGTGCCTCTGAGGTCCTTGATCATCCTTGATCTCTTGATGCCCGATTCATGCGTGTGCATATCCTGTCGCTGTGGTAGAGCCTACCAATGTGTCCATACTTAACTTCAACAACAATTGCTTAATATAATATATCTTAATATTATTGTATACTATAGACATCTATAGACTATAGATTGGTATCTTAGATGACTCTTAGATGTATATTATTGCACGGCGAATCTCCTGCACATGCACGGTCACTTCGCCCCTATCGTACAAGACTCCAAGACATTGCAAGCACCCCATAGAACTGGAGGACAAAAAGAACACTCTAAGGACCCTGTGCAAAGTTGCGCTGAGTTAACTTAAGCCGTTCGGTATCGTTCGGTTGTACAAGAACATAATGGAAATTGGCTGGAGAAACCTTAGCAGCAGCCTTTTGATATTGACAGCAACCATTTTGATTTTTGACCCAAGAAACTCGGCTGCAAGAAGTGCAAACCACGTGCCATGACTGATATGACTGCACATCCCCTTTGGAGCTCGCACGCATTGAAAGAAGCAACTTTGGCCATCTGATGCCATCTGCTTTGAGCCAGCGGAGCTGTGGAGCGTGCTCCGATTCCAAAACTCAACTTCTCAACATTCTCAACTCGCTATATCCAGCCACATAGAGCCGCACATTGCTGCCCTTGGAATGTTCAATGTTCTGAATCTATCTGAATCTATTATGTTGTGCTCCTCCTCTGTAGGTTTCCAACCCAAAGGAACGAATCCTCGCAGACTTGCAGAATCTACAGTTCCAAATTCTACAACGACACTTCAACAAGAACAGACAAGGACACCAAACACAATACATAAAATCTCATAAAATGTCCGCAAAAGAGTGAGAGAGGTGTGGTGAGTCCTGGGCCACGCAGCACTGCTGTGAGGTAGCTGGTCTGGGCGCATGGCGCACAACTTGAGCATCTCAAAGGATCTCTGAAATCAAGTCAGAAGCATCACTTGAAACAACTTGACATTGTCGAATTCAACGCTGCATCGATCCGCGCAGTCTGCAAGCAGCCGTGTTAATCTTATTCAAATTTATTCCCTGTATTGACCTTTGAACCTCCTGTGCATCCACAAGCCACCCAGCAGAGACAAAAGAAGCAAAAGATGTCAGGAGTTCGAAGATGTTAGTTAGGAGCAGTCGGGAGCGGCTAGGAGGCTGGGCGACTGGCCACCAAACAAATCACTTCCAAACCTCGGACAGCACCAAGGGGGATCAAGAAGGCTTGACATATCTTGACATGGCATGTTACGGCATGACTTATGATCGAAGAAAGTTTAGAAGTCAAACTTCCGACAATATGGACAGATGAAGCCGTTTCCAACATCAAAAGTTGAGGAAGCCTCGCAGAATTGCTCCGTTGTCGATGTCGTCAACTTTGCATTTTTGATATTTTTGAGGACGTCTCGCAGACTTTCTTCATTTTGGAGCTGTGAACTTGGAGTTTTTGAGGAAGTCTCGCAGTATTATTCGTTTTAAAGGATACAGTACTTTTGAAGGAAGCCTAGCAGAATTATATAACAGATAGATAGATAGATAGACAGATCAGAGAGACAGACAGCCGGGGGGGAGAGGGAGAGAGAGAGAGAGAGAGAGCGAGAGCGAGAGCGAGAGCGAGAAAGAAAAAAGCCAGAGACACAGAGATTGGGAGAGATTCACAGAGAGACAAATAAAATGGAGAGAGAGCTAGATAGTGCCAGATAGACAGATGGACAAATAGAAAGATAGAAAGATAGAAAGATGGATAGATAGCCTAGCGGTAGACGGCTCATTTTGGAACACGAAAGCCGGATCATTTCTGAACATATAGACAAACAAAAACTCCCTTTGAACATCCAATATGCACGGAGTTTTTCATTTTCTTTATTGTGCACTCGTGGCCCCTCCAAGTATACTGACGCTCTATCCGAAGATTAAACAACAACCATAAACCACACAAGTTGCAAACCAAGTAACACGTACGACGTAAGACATTTTCTCAAAAACAAAGCTCAACTAAAACTACCAAACCATCAGGGTTCAGATAAGGGGGGAGGAGTTGTGCAGATGGTTTTGGTAGATACAAAGCGGAATGCATAGGGTGCACAACTACAAAATGCAGTGCATGTTGCTTTTTTTGCAGCTACAAAATGAAGAACATAATTCTTTCTGGCTCGGAAAATAATTCAAACCCACTACAAAATCCAATGCATCTGAAGTTAAAAAATAACTGAACGTCGGAATTGCTAACATGATTTTTCCCAATGACATTTTGTAGTTCGGTCTTTGCCATCCAAAGTTCCGACCAACATAAATTCGGAGAACATTTTGTAGTTGTCAATGATTGAATTTAGTTGGATCAAGTGTTGACCCCGTGCAGTTTGTTAGATGGCATTCTGTAGTTTCATGATCTGTTTGTGTCCATGTACATGTCACGCACTGTTTCCTTTTTTCCACCTCTCTCACCTCTTCAAATGCAAAATGCAAATGAGATTTTATGTTGGATGCTTCAACTATTCAACTTGTACAACGACAAAATGCTAATGAGATTTTATGTTGGATGCTTCAACTAACTCAACATATACAACTACAAAATGAAAATGATGATTTGAAAGGAATCAGCTACAAAATGATTCCAAATACAAAATGGGGGGCACAACCCCTCCTGTTTGTACAAAAAGATCCTGGCTGGCAATCTGTACTGTAGCCCAAGTCCTCCCCATTTCGTAGCTGAAATTTGAAGGTGGATACCAAACCTATAATATACCACGAAAGCAGTCAACCAGAAAATGACCGAAAGGAAAGGAAAACCCGGCAACCAATCAACCGCACGCAAAAAAAACAGAAACCAGAAACCAAAACAGACAATAACTCAAAAACCATAAGAAAACAAACAAACAAACAAACAAACAAGAAGAAAACCACCAAACCAGAGTATCTAGAAACCAAACACCTAGGGAACACCAAAAAAAACAATTTCGAAAACTTCAACAAAACGGAAACCAAGATTGACACTGCGAAATCAGAAAGCAGGAAAACAGGAAACTACGACACCCGGAAACTAGAACCTCAGGAAACCAGGAGACGAGGAAACCAGGAAACCACGAGACGAAATAACCAGGAAATGACATAACCAAGAAATAAACCTAGAGGGAACGAACTAAGAGATCAACAAAAAACTAGGAAACCAGAAAACCAGCAAACCAGGAAACCCCAAGGAAACCAGGAGACCAGGAAATCGGGAAACCAGATAATCAGGAAATAATAAAACCTTCAGGAAAAAATAGAGAGACTAGACGGAATCGGTCACCCACTAGCAGAATCAGACCACTGAGTCAATCACCCCCCCAACGTCGGAGTCAGTCACCCCCCACAGCCCCACGAGGGGCGAGGGGTGACTGCCATCCGGCGTGCCCAGTGGCCCATTTTGGTCTCTCGGGTTTACTTATTGTTGGTTTGGGATTTATTTAGGCTTGGCCTAAGAGTTTCTTAAGGATTGGTTTAATAAGGTTAAGTTAGGGTTACGCACAGGGTTTGTGCGAGGGTTAGTGTAGGGTTTAGTTATGGTTGGTTTAGGGTATATTCAGGCTTGGATTTGTTTTATTTAGGGTTGGTTTAGGGCTAATGTAGGGTTTCATCAAGTTGAATGTAGCAATCCAGAATCTTCCTCATTTTCGAGTTACCTCAAAACATGTAGCTGGCTCAATTTCAGAAGGGGTCATGTGTTTGACTTTAATGTTGTGCCGCTGTCTAAGCAGATTTGGCCCAAAACGTGGCTCCTAAATTTCTGGGCTGCAACAGGGGTACCAGCTCTATTAAACGAATCATGTGGGACTGAACCTGGCAATTGAACACATTGGGAAAAATTTGCGGGCTCGCTCAAGTGGAACGAGCTACCTCAGCAACACCGCGCTAGCTCAAACACATCGCTCTCGCTCGATGGCATCGAGCTGGCTCAATTTTTTTGACCGAAAAAAAACGAAAAAAAAAAAAACGAAAAAATTGAGCGAGCTACGTCACGTTGAGCTGGCAAACGAATGTGAAAGCTAAAAACGAATACATTATATGTATTGGCCGGGATGATGACGGCATACCGAGCTGGCTCAAAGGCATGTAGCTGGCTCATTTTTTTTGCGTTGCTTTTTTTTTCGTTCAACAAAAATTGAGCCAGCTACGAGGCGCTGAGCCAGCAACAAGACATTGAGCCAGCTACGTGGCACTGAGCCAGCAACGAGGGAATGGTGAATCTGTATCGTACGGGACCGATGGATTTTCCGATGCAGCCTTTGCAGTTCCAACAAATCAAATTATTGATTAATTTTGGCACCGTCTGAAATAAAATAAAGACTGGCAGTCTATACATATCATATGTATACATATATTAACCCCAACCGTATAATATCGTATAATTATGGTCAATCTGAGGCAACACCAGTTTTCTTGATGGAGACGCGTACCCTTGAGCTGGAGGGAGGTTGGGAAAAGTAACTTTCGATCAAGATTTGTTTTACTGTAGGGTCTTTTAGGGTCTACTTGGCTTCGCTTAGGGTTTCTTAAGGGTTGGTTTAAGGGTGTTTAAGGTTTAGTTAGGGTTTGATCAGGGTTTGTGCGAGGAATTGTTGTTTTAGGGTATATTCAGGCTTGGTTCAAGTCTTATTTAGGGTTGGTTTCGGGCTAATGTAGGGGTTCGTCAAGGTTTGTTTTGGGGTCTATTTAGGGTTTATTTAGTGTTGGTTTCGGGTATATTTAGGCTTGGTTTAGGCTTTTTGGGGGTTTGGTTTAAGGTGACATTGGGGTTTCGTCAGGGTTTGCTTGAGGGTTTGCTTGAGGGTTGGTTTAGGGTTTCTTTAGGTTTGGTTTAGGGTTGACTTATGGTTTCGTCAGGGTTTGTTTTGAGGGTTGTTTAGGGTTTGTTTTAACGCTGGTTTGGGGGTTGCTTAGGGTTGATTTGGGGTTTATTCAAGGTCGGTTCGAGTTTATTTAGGGTTAGTTTAGGGTTTCATTAGGTTCGTTTAGGGTATATCTAGGCTTGGTTTCGGATATATTTCCAGTAGGTTTAGGGTTTCTTTAGGGGTGATTTAGGGTTATTTAGGGTTTCGTCAGGATTTGTTTTAAAAATGGTCGAGGGTATTTTGGTAGGGTTTCTTGAGGGGCTCTTTGTTGTTGACTTTCCGTTTTCCCATGTTCCCATGATTTCCTTGATCCTGTTTCCGGCTTTCAGGGGTGGCTGACTCTTTGTTGGTGACTTTCTGTCTCCGGTTCATGGTCTCCCTGCATCCTGTGCTAGTGTTCAGCGGTGACTGACTTTGTCCTATTTCCTGACACGGACGTCTGGGGCGACTGACTCGGGGGAATGACTCTTTCTTGACCCAAAAATACAGGATGAAACAAAAAGGAAACCAGGAAACCAGGAAACAGGGAAAAGGAGACCAGGAAACTAGGAAACCAGGAAACCGGAAAACCGGGAAGGGAACAAGGAAAGCAGAAAACATTAGAAAAACCATGCCAATTTCGCGTTCCAAAACGAGCTAGTTTCCGCGTTCAAAAAATAGGTGGTTTCCGCGTTCAGAAATAAGGCGTCTTCCTAGCTAGCTAGGTAGATAAATAGATCACAATCACTCACTTCTCCTATGGTTTTCCTATCTTTGAAACTTCCTCCACCGCCTTGTGCGCTACTACTGGTACTTGTGACATAGATATGTTCAAAACACAAAATAAGAAAACTATTTACAAAAGCTGTGATGTTCTGTGATGTTCTGTAATGTTCTGTGATGTTCTGTGATGTTCTGTGATGTTTTCTGTGTGCCAAGGTGCTGAAGATGGCAAGTTCGATACGGCCATGTTCCCAAAAGTGGCCAACCTTAGACTGTGGCCCGAGATTGATGGCCCGAGTTTAGAATGTTCAAAAAGATCCAAAAAGATGCCAGCGTGCCCTTTCCATGGTTGCATCATGCTGCATCCGTGATGTCTCCGCAAACGTCAAGAGTTTGTTTCATAGCCTCCCAATCCCAGCGATTTCCAGGGCTACAACTGGAATGACCCAACCTCGGCACGCTTCTCGATTATAATAAGTGAAGAAGACATGGACTGCTGTACTCTTCATTGCGCCAAAGGAAATTCCACACCACTGCTTCACTCCCTTCAAGAACCAATATTGCCTATATCTCTCATTATCTCTATATTTATCTCTATGATATCATATCTCTATGTATCTTTGTACAGGATATCCTCTTTGGTGCCTGTATATGTCTGCCACATCATGGTAAACAGAGCTTGGTTGGGTCGTTTTAGTCGTTTCAGTCGTTTCAGTCTTCCTTAAACCTGGGGTCCCTGAGGGTCCCTGAGGGTCCCTGGGTGCTCCGACCATGGAAAACAGTACTCACAGCGATACAAACAATGAGGGTCATGGTAATTGCAGGTGTAATCCCACAAAGGCGCCTCAGCTCCGAACTCCATACGGAGTACAACAGCTGATCAAAAAAAGTATTTTAAAGAATTTTAAAGTACTGTCAATGGGGAACATATAATTATAAATATATATATATACAGTGCTATATATACATATATATAATATCGTAATACAAATGCACCTGCACTAAGTCCAGACTGAATTTGACATGTAAATGAAGCTAGGCACAAATTAGGCACCCTTCAAGACAATAGAAAAACACAGCTTCTGCCAGCTGCATCCAGCTGTCAGCAATCTCATGCCATGTTGACCTGTTTGAATCGCCGCGATCTTTTCACGTCACGTCATGGAATTGCCAGTAGTGCCAGGGTGTAGTCGGTGTCACAGTGACAGGTGCTAACATGGCCTCGACGACTTTGCGTTCCAGCTGTCAAACATTGTCAAACAGTTCCAAGAAAATCCATAGAAAATCCAATAGAAAATCCATGGAAGTCTTAATGAAGTCCATAGAAGTCGTTTCCAATTACGGCTTGCCACACGCTGGAGATCACTGGAGCTAAAGCTGCTGTGGCCAGCCATGGGCAGCTCGCTTTTCCTATAGCAGTCACTTGCATCAAGGAAAACATTCCACACACTGCGCTAACAGACCCGACCCTTGTCGAAAAGCGCCTGCATTCTCAGTTCGGTCTGACGGGGCTTACGGGTTTACACTCTGAGACGGAGCTGGACATGACTTATTTGTAAGGTAGGTGCCTGCACAAGACTAGAACACATTTTGACATGGTACCTTTGAAATACCACTGTCAAGAAGGCACCCGGTGCTTTTCATTCCCTTTTGAGGTTTCGTTGTGCTCATTGAAGCAAACAAGTTCGTCTACCATAGAAAGCTCCAAAAGGAGAAGGAGATGACACGCCATCAAGTGCCCATCCCCAGCAAGAAAGGCTCAAGCGAATTCCATTTTTGGCAGTGGCTATTCAGGCTAGTTGCACTGCCACTAAATCTTGCAAAGCTGGGACAAAATGGGTAGAGCCGCAGGATGCAGTGAAATGCTGCGAAGGCCAAAGATTCAAATACCGCTACTACTTATCACGGGTCTGCCCATAAAGGCTCCTGAGCTACATCTCTCAACAGCTGCAGAATGAGAGTTGCATCTTTGTACTTGTCCTGGTCAGGGGGCTACTTCAGCATATTCAGCTCGCACTGAATGCATTCTCGGGCAAAACATGTCCCTGAACGGCACAGGTGCCTCAAAGTAAATGTCCATGAAATGCACTGAACTTGTAACCCTGTGGCAGGCAGCTTGCCAACTAATGCCAACTATATTACGCGTCCAACTGCAACGTGTTGTTTAAAGTAAATGTATTTGTGCATCATGATGCACGCAGTACCTTACAATTGATGACATGTTGAAATATGTGTTCACCCTTTCATCTGCCCCATATCTGTCCCATATCTGTCTATCCGTCCCTCTGCGTGCCTCTGGTATGTAGTCCAGCTGTTGGAGCGCTGCGTCATAGGTGCGGCGAGCTTTTCTGCGAGCAGCTCTATGATCGTCATCCAATTCAGCAATCAGAATGGAGTAATTCAGAACCACGGCCAGGCGAATTGGGTTGGTGATCTCCAGGTCTCTCTCTGCTAAAATCTCTGCCTGGTCATACTTCCAACGAGATAGTTTCACAGCCTTTATTTTAGCTGTTCCCTCCAGAATCTCAGACAAATGTCTGTAGTAGTCCCCTTGCATCTTGTGGTAAAATACGATGTGCTCGGAACCCTCCGTCTGCAAAACAAGCTGCTGCACCATTCCCAGAAGTTCACAACAAATCCCCTCCGCTTCTGCTTTGAGTGACATACTGTACTTTGTGGCACAAGTGATCTTGTCCAAATTCCCTTCGTTTTCCTCTTTGCAAATGATCTTGCTGATAGCTTTCAATGCAGAACGACGAGGTGCCAAGGAGGCTTTGTATGCGGCGGAAAGGAGATTCCTCTCTCTCTCCGAGAGCATTGGCGTCGGCTGTCGCTCAGTGGGCCTTTCCTGACACCCCTCCTGTCACTTGGAGCGTTTGGAGCCACAGTGGCCACCATTACAACAGCAATTGAAACAACAAATACCTCTTGACACATCTCTTGGAAAATCATGAGACTTGTAGGGGAATCTTTGAAGTCGGATCATGTACTGAATCATGGTATACAATGACATCAGGTAAAAAGAAAGATAGATAGATAGATAGATAAGATAAGATAAGATAAGACAAGACAAGACAAGACAAGACAAGACAAGACAAGACTAGATTAGATTAGATAGATAGATAGATAGATAGATAGATAGACACACAGACACAGAGAGAGAGAGAGATAGATAGATAGATAGATAGAAATAAATCATAATAAATCAGTTGGACATGTTTGACTCGTAGAAATTCGTTGGTGCGTCCTCGTCGCCTCGCAGGCGCTGCTCCACCAAACATTTCACGTGGCCGCGCATGTCGTCAAATCTCCCCGCCGCCTCCGCAAGCTCGGCCAAAAAAGCTGCCATGGCAGCGTGGCAATATGGCTTCAGGTCACCGGTCGATGTCACAAGGAAAATCAAAGAATCTACATCATTGAACAAATGTAGCAGTATAATAATAGTAATAGATAGAAATAGTATAAAAACAATTGAAAACACGTGAAATATTTTAAGTGACCGAATCCCATTTAGGGGGTTCTCCAAGGTGTCAAAAGATGTCAAAAAATCTCAGAAGTCACTAGATCATACTAGATCTAACAAGAAACTCGCGAAACAAGGAGCGTTCTAGTTGTCATGGAATTGTGGCAATAGTGCTACTGCATTGCTGATGCTGCAGGGTGTTCTTCCAGGTTCGAAACTGGCGGAATTCGTAAGGGCCCGCAACTTCTTGAGAGGACTCACTCTTCTTGAAAATGAACGCTGCGACCAGCCAACAACTTGATGATCTTGCTACCTGTTGGAAAATGCTGGAACAATCAGAACAGGTACAGCAAGCGCTGGTGCAAATGTGAACTCAACACCGCTTGTAAACTTAGCTTAGTGCCGTGAAGCGGTGCAGCAAGCTTGGAAGCCGGTTCGGTGATCCTCAAGGTCTCAACGTGTGTGGTCTCTCTCTTTTTCTCTCCCATCGCCTTGAGACCAAGTCTGCCTCAGCCTATCAAAGTGTGTTGTGCATGGTCTGTTAATATATGTGTATATATATAATATGTATTAACAATTGTTAACATATGTATTCTCTGCGTTTGTGCGGTCCAAACCACTGGGTGGAAAACGGTGCCTATGTGCCCATCACATGTGCCCATCACATGACACCACGTGAATCCAATGGATCCGTCATGAGTTCTCAAAGAAATGGATAGAAATGGCACCAGTCGCCTTGCTGAAAACTATCTGGCTCCCAGTGACCCAAGTCTCAAGTCCCATTCTGCAGCCACGCTTCATATCCACTGACGGCAGCCATGAAGGACTGATTTCGGCTTTGCGATATGCGCGGCGTTCAATTCATTCTGCTGTGGTGTGGTCTATCAGTAGGAAGGCAAATGCTGCCTTTTCTGTCATGTTCAGAACGCTCACTTAGGCCAGCAATGGGGCATGCAGGGGCGTTGCAAATTAACTTCACAAACTGCATTTCTACAGGCTTTGGAGAGATATGCTGACTTCAGAGTGTCTCTCTTTCATCTTGTTTCTGCCATGTTTGCTAATACGAGACGGATTGAGAACCCCCCCAAATATTTGCAATCGTCTTCATATTGTGTTCATTGCGGAAACTAATGGGAAATGGAACTGCAAAATAAAGCAGGCGCAGAAGGACACATTCTTCAAAACTGGCCCAAGATTTGAAGAAACCAACAAGTGAACCACGATGAACCAAGATTAGAAGGCCCCCATGACAAACGATACTCTCTCTCCGACGCATGACAAAATTCACTACACTTTTGGCGCATGCGCAGATTCAAGCGATTTTCAAGAAGTTCTGCGTCGACGTGCCTGACAGGCAGCTGCTAAATGAGAGAAATGAGAATACCTCAGTGTTCATCCTGCATTACCTTCTCTGAATTGGTGCATCCTCAATCTTCGTGCTTTTCATATCTTTTCATGTTTCACCACTCTAAGTCTCGGAATAAGTAGATGTTTGTAGAAGTCTTTAGTGTTTCCTACCAGTTCGTGCACAGCTGTGTGTCACTTCCATTGTCAATAGAATCTCGATACAGTTTCGACGCAGCATCCCTCCTTCTTGCCGCTCTAACAGCTCGTCTTCCTCTTCAGCTTGAGCACCGACCTCAACGTGATGGCAAAGCATGGCAAACACGGCAAAACACAGATCAGGTTTAAGTTCATTGCTGATCATTGCTGTATATTGCTACATGTGACACCTGCAAGAACGACAAAGAGTCACACCACTTCTCCATTTTTGGCATTCTTGGTCTGAACCTCTGCAAACCAGCCCGGCAAACCACGGAAAGCATCCAAATATAGTAAAATTTCCCTGGTAGCAAACTACCACGGTTCATCTGTCAAATAATACAGGTAGGTGCAAAAGATATTCAAATATACAGTCAAACAAATCCCGATACCAACATGATGAATCTTATGCATTTGTTTTCCTGTGAGGTTCTCAAACTAGAGAAGGAATCCAGATCCAAAAGAAACCAACAAAACATGACCATACATTAACCAAGCATCAACGTTAAGCCAGTGAAACAGCGCCAAGACAACAAAACTTAAAAAAGAAATGGAGCATGCTGAGCATGCCCTATAATTACATCCCTCTATGTAAATGTAACTTGCACTTTGGCTTGCCGGTTGCCAGAAGACGCGGAAGAATTTGCATAAACTCTTCAACCATCTGTCAAGTAGAAAACGCGCAGGAAAAATCGCGTTTTCCCTGGAAAATGCAAAATCGTTTTGGCATGTTTTGGTTGTTTTTGATATTTTTGGGATGAAATTTGCACTTGTTTACTTTATCACATGCGACGCAAGCCGCCTTTTCCTTATCTAGGCGCTCTGCCGGTCAGGACAGGAAAAACGCTGGAGATGTCACGGGCCACAAGTGTCCAGGAATGTTTGATATTGCGTATTGATGTGTTTTCTGTCTGCGCATGCAGATGCAACACACCATTCATATTATGAGAGCTCACAACATGCCATGCCACCACAGCCAAGACACCCACCAACAAGAGACCACCCGTGCACCACCCGTAGACCACCCGTACACCACCCGTGCTCCAGTACTACTTTGTACTACAAAGCTTGCACCAAGTACTTCCCAGCACTACTTTGTACTACGAAGCTTGCACAAAGCACTTCCCAGTACTACTTTGTACTACAAAGCTTGCACAAACTACTTCCCCGTACTACTGTGTACTACAAAGCTTGCAAAAAGTACTTCCCAATACTACTTTGTACTACAAAGCTTGCACAAAGCACTTCCCAGTACTACTTTGTACTACAAAGCTTGCACAAACTACTTCCCAGTACTACTTTGTACTACGAAGCTTGCGCAAAGCACTTCCCAGTACTACTTTGTACTACAAAGCTTGCACAAACTACTTCCCAGTACTACTTTGTACTACGAAGCTTGCGCAAAGCACTTCCCAGTAGTACTTTGTACTACAAAGCTTGCACAAAACACATTCCAGTACTACTTTGTACCACAAAGCTTGCACAAAGAAAGCTTTTACACACAGCAAGTTCTTTCGCAGAGAATGAAACTTTCACACACAGCAAACTTTGTAAACAAGCTTGCACAAAGAAACCTTTTACACACAGCAAGTTCTTTCGCAGAGAAGCTTTTACACACAGCAAGTCTTTTAAACAGAGAAACTTTTACACACAGAAGCTTTTACACACAACACACTTTTATACAGAGAAGCCTTTATACACAGCAAGCTTTCACACACAGCAAGCGTTTACACACAGTGCTTTTACACACAGTGCTTTTACACATGGCAAGCGTTTACGCACACAGCAAGTTTTTTAAACAGAGAAACTTTTACAGACAGAGAAGCTTTTACACACAACAAGCTTTTACACAGAGAAGTTTTCACACACAGCAAGCTTTCACACACAGCAAGCGATTACACACAGAACACTTACACACAGTGCTTTTACACATGGCAAGCCTTTACACACACAGAAACTTTTACACAGAGACGCTTTTACACACAGAGAAGCTTTTACACACAGCAAGCTTTTACACACAAAATCTTTTACGCACAGCAAGCTTTCACACACAGCAAGCGTTTACACACAGAACACTTACACACAGTGCTTTTACACACAGTGCTTTTACACATGGCAAGCGTTTACACACACACAGCAAGCTTTTTAAACAGAGAAGCTTTTACAAACAGAGAAGCTTTTACACACAACAAGCTTTTACACAGAGAAGCTTTTACACACAGCAAGCTTTCACACACAGCAAGCGTTTACAGAACACTTACACACAGTGCTTTTAAACATGGCAAGCGTTTACACACACAGAAACTTTTACACAGAGACGCTTTTACACATAGAGAAGCTTTTACACACAGCAAGCTTTTACACACAAAATCTTTTACACACAGCACGCTTTTACAGAAACAAGTTCTTACACAGAGAAGCTTTCTTGTACATAATCACAACAGGGAATTGCAGCTCCAAAACCGGATCTCGACGCCACAACGAAAAAAAGACTGATTTTGAAGCACTTTTTAAAGAACTTTTAAAAGGAAAATTGCTAGCGCCAAAATTGAGAAAATCTGCTGACAAATCACTGTCGCAGCCTTGATGCAGCCACTCCAATACTATTTACGAGATCCAGCTGCAAAAAACAATGGTATTACACATGCAGCCGTGGCACCAAGCAACCTTGACGCAGCCACTACAATGCTATCTGCAGAGACCGAGTTGCAAAACACAAAAGAACTTCGCGCAACAGCGTCGGCAATTGCAGCTCCAAAACCGGATCTCGACGCCACAACGAAAAAAAAACGATTTGGAAGCACTTGTTAAAAGAACATTATAGAACATTTAAAAGGAAAATTGCTAGCGCCAAAACTGAGAAAATCTGCTGACAAATCACTGTCGCAGCCTTGATGCAGCCACTCCAATACTATTTACGAGATCCAACTGCAAAAGACAAAAGTATTACGCATGCAGCCGCAGCACCAAGCAACCTTGACGCAGCCACTACAACGCTTTTTGCAGCATCACGTCGCAAACATGCACATATCTACGCACATGGCAAAACCAAATGACAACAATCATGCAGCCATTCCACTGCGATCTGCAACAACAGATTCAAGACACGCATGGAACTACGCACACAGGAACAGCCGCTCGTTGCAGAACACAGAGGAGGAACCAATTCGCGCATGAAACGGCCCCAGCCGCGCCCGCCGCACACACGAGGTACCTTTCATCGCCGGCTGCAGCCACTTTACACGGAAAAACACAAGGTTTTGTGCTCTGGCTTCCTCCCCAAAACAAAGCCCATTGAGCATTCATTCAGCCATTACAATGCGTTTCGCAGCATCACTTCTCTT